AGGCTAGCGCTCTACCACTTGAGCCACAGCGCCACTTCCGGCTTTTTTCTTTTTGCTTATGTGGTGCTGAGGAATCGAACCCAGGGCCTCGAGCATGTAAGGCAAGCACTCTACCGCTGAGCCACCTTCCCAGCCCCCTGAACATTATCTTTACAATAAAAAATATATATTTAAAAAGAAAAGAAAACCCAGACAACCCACCTCACTGAACTGCCACGCCCATCCTAACCTGCCACCTGCAGCGTCACGGAGCCCTCTCGACTCAGGTTCCTGATCCGGATCTGACACTGGTAGGGTCCTCGGTCCTCAAGGCTCACATTGTGGATCTTCAGGGCGACACTTCCCTCCTGGGCATTTTCCACTAGCTCCGTCCTGCCCGCATATTGCGGCATCAGATCTTCGTCCCTGCTCTCCCCGCGCCGGAACACGTGCACGGCCTGCGGGCGCTGCAGACGCGAGGGCCGCTGCCACCTCACCTCCTCGGGCACCGACCCTGGCCAGAGCGCCAGCGGGCAGGGCAGCTCCGCCGTGTCCCCGAGCCGCGTCAGGTGGAACCCGCCCGCATCGCCTGTGGGATGCCAACAACAACAACAACAACTAGATGCGGGGGGGCGGGGGGAGACCTAGAGAAGGGACTGGCAGGGATGTGGGAGGAAGAGTTGGGTGAGAAATGAGACAGAGGAAATCTCGGGGAAGGGCAGCACCATGGATAGACATTGGAAGAGATTAGGGCAAGAACAGAGCCCCAGAAAGAAAGAAATTCTCTGGTCAAGCTTTCATGTTCTTGGGAGTCACCATCAGACATCTTAGGCGGGGAAAGACATTCTGAAAAACCTACCTGACACCTGTGCAGACACCTGGAGGAAGAGGGTGAGGAGGCAGCCAAGGAGCCAGGAGCCAGAGGAACTTGCCATCCTCATCCACACTAGGGCAGAGACCCGAAGAGCACTGATGAGCTTGGCCTGAGGGAGGGTAGAAGCTAGGAGCTGGAGCTGAGACCCAAGAGACCTGGGCCACACCCGCCTGGCTTACAAGGCCAGATCTACCATATCCCCTGGTGGTTGTGGGTGAATAAACTTGAGACTCTATTTCTTTACCTTTAAAAGGGTGTAATGGCCATGCGTCCCTGCAGAACTACTGGGGGACCAAGGGGGAGCACTCACACAGAGACTAACATCCTGGATCCCTCTACAAATGCACGAAGGAGGATGATAGTAGGGATGAGTGAGGAAACAACGAGTGTGGCTTAAAAGATGGAGGAGGAGTCTAGAAGGGTGAGAATTTATACCCAACATGAATCAAGTAAGTCCTGATCGGAGCACTGGCTTCCTTTTGTTTTTAGTGTTTTGGTTGGCCTTGGGAAGTGCCTGTTTCAAGGCAGACTTTACCCATGCTGCAGCTCCAGCCCTTTTCTACATCCTTTCAAGTTGGCACATAACCAAGTAAAGATGCAGGATCCCTCCTTGCGGCATGAAGACCATGATTAAATGAAGGTCTTCAGACAAAACCCATCTAGCTATCTCATCACTTGTCCCTTTTTGTGTCTATTAAGTGACCTATTGGCCATTTTTTTGTCCTTTAATGTGTTCTTCTAAGGAGAATGATTTCTCTACGGACCTGAGGATCCTGAGAAAGTGAAAGAGCTAAAAAGAATGAAGAGGCAAGACTGTAGCTATTAACCAATGGCTACTCCTTATGGGTTTCCTTGTGTATGTTCCTTTGTAGTTTCCAATTTTTCTGCCTCAAACTTGCACCACTTTGGTCATCAGAAGACCAATCATTTACTGCAAAGGGGAGGATATGCATGACCAGGAAAGGAGGCAGAAGGAGCAGAAGCAGCTGTGCTGGAGGGCCTCACAGGCCCTATGACATGCAGCTGAAAGACAGCAGGGCCCTCTTGTTTTATTTTCCTGTGCACTGTAAGAGCTGTCTGGACACCATATGATCTTGGGGCTTGTTCTTCTAATCTATTTGTCCATCACATTCTCATGCAACATACTATGCCAACATTATAGTAACTAGCATCATATTTGTGTATGATTGGGTTAGCACTACCTCATCATTATGTTTTAAATGGTCATGTTGTTCTATATTAATAATAGTAACCATTTATTACATCTTAGGTGTTCTACTTATATTGTCTTCAGTCCTAACAATAACTCTGAATGTAGGCCTTGTTTCCTTTCAAGCTTAGGAGCAGCAATTGTATGCATATCAAGGCACTGTACAAGCAAAAATGCCAGGACTGTGAAACAGAGAAATTGAATGAATGCATGAATGAATGAATAAATGGCTACGTATCAGGAGTTACAAAATAATATGAATATGAACTTTTCCCAGGCCTACTTCTCAGGCCTGAACCTCCACATGGAGTGAGGAATTCCCAACTTAGAGACTCAAGCTCTGGTTCTCACACTTTATGAAGAAAATTTCTCCTACACATACAGTTTCACATCTTAATCTTCATCAAGTATGTCATAATTTTGGACTTTTTCTGTTCTACTTATTGTAAGAAAATCTGGAAATTATCTTTCCCATTCCCCCTAAAAGGCAAGCAAATTAAATCTACAATTCCTTTGCTTAGGGATAATGTTTCTTCAAATCTATTTTTTTGCATATATGTAACCTTTTCTAAATTTTTAAGATTATCTTTAAGTAGTTGTACAGAAGAATTACAATTCAACCTATCAATTTATGAGTATAACACATCTTGATTCAATGTCACCCCTTCCATCATCCTCCCCCATTGTACGCAACCTTTTAAGAAAATAAGACTGTTAGCTGGTCGTATGGCACAGCAGTAGAGTATCTGCCAGCAAGAATGAGGCCAAGAGCCAAGAAACAGTAAAGCTTAGTTACACGCCAGCTATCATGTTAATAATCATAACCATAATAATTAAATGAGAGTCTTCAGATAAAACCCACCCAGTTCTCTTGTCTTGTCATTTGTCCCTTTTTTTGTTAAGTAGCAGTTACCCAGTGGCCATTTTGTCCTTTAAGGTGTTCTTGTAAGAATTATTTCTCGACTGGATCTGAGGATCTTGAGAAAGTGAATGAAGAGAAAAAAGAGGGAGAAGAGGAAGCAAACTTACCGATGTTGGAATCAGAGACCCTTGTCCTTTAGCACTAGAGCTGGAGTCTCTAAGTTGGGAATTCCCTCACCCCATGCAGAAAAGTTCAGGCATCAAGCAAGAGTATCAGGAAGAGCCTGAGAACTAGGTCTGGAAAAAGTTCATATTCTGTTCTAAAGACCAAAGCCCAAGCCAGGGGCTCCCTCTACCCAACAGTCTTCTGGCTACCCCTACAAACAAGCAACGCCCAGTCTGTCTGCCCTTGATAAAGGAACAGAGCAGAGAGGAGGATCCCTAAAAGCGAGGGAAAACTCCTAGAGCTACTGGGTAGAAGGGACTGTTGTACATTGGCTTCCTTCTCCTCTAGAGCTAACCGCCAGCAGTTTCTCCTCTTCATACAATTTGATCCTATCACAACCTTTCTGAAAAGTTTTGACCTCTTTACTTTCAAAAGATAGTAAATTAGAAGATCCATTTAGTTGGTCAAAATATTTACCAATTAGCTCAATTCTTTAACTCACTCCTTTTATCTCCAGCTACACCTGATAAGTACTTTTCCACAAACTTGCTTTCTGTTCCTCAGCATTTGATAAACTCTTGCTTTACTCATACCCATAACTGTATATTCATAGCATCCATAACTGTAACCTTGACAATACATTGTATGTTCATAGGTATCCTGGACTTTCAAAAAGATATGCCATATGTATAGATTCCCTGTGATTTTCTTTTTTTCTCTTTATTCTTGCTTCTCTCTCTCTCTCCTGTTTCTTTCTGTCTATCTCTTTCTTTTTCACTTAACATTAATTAGGAGATTCCCATGGTGGCACACATGATGCCCGCCTCAGCTCACCCATTCTAGGTATAGCTGTAAGCGATTTGCCTGTATGTCTCTCATGGGCCATAGCATCTCCTTGCTTACTTGTTTGGAGCAGACTGTTTCACCTGCAGGGAGCCTAGGAGGTCACCAAAGCTAATGCCCAGGGACATCAATCAAAAGTGATGGAAATGTTCTGTGCTGTCTGTATGATTCTTCCCAGAGTTCCCTAGTGGGACTGAGTAGCTCAATAATGCATGTTATATTAGCTTTTTTCCTCTTTTCTTCTGCTACGTCTGCTTCCTGGGACTCACTTCCTAAAGAAACTCTTGCAATGAAGGACTTGTTTCACACAAATTAGGAGGGAATTCAGCCAGTGTGTAAAGCCCAGAATTGAAAAAATGCATATATATATATATATATATATATATAATTTATTTGTCATGGGAAGTCTTAATTTATTTCCTTGTAAAGATGCTGTACAGAGAGGTTACAGTTACATCAGTAAGGTAATGAGCACATTTCTTGTCAGGCATTGTTACTCCCTCCTTTGTTTTTCTCCCACTATCTCTTCCCTCCCCTACCTTCCTTCTTCCTCACCCCCAAAGGTATAAGGTTCATTTCCAACATAGTATCCTCTATTCTAGTTATTATGACATATGTAATAAACTGTTATAGATTGAATTTGCCCTACTGTGCTGAACACTATTGTTGCTCTTATCTAACTACATTTTGGTACCTATTATCCAACATATCTCTAAAATCCCCTTCCATACCAAGGTTGTTTTTTGGTTTTGGTTTTGGTTTTATTTTTCTTCTCTGATGGTACAGGGGATAGATGATTTCTCTGAAAATTAAGAAAGAAAAAGAGATGCAAATATAAATATAGATATTACTCATAACCCCAGAATCTAGTGATAACCTCTATAATATTTATTTTATTTATTTTTTTGTCAGTTGTGGGGCTTGAACTCTGGATGATGTCCCTCAGCTCTTCAGCTCAATGTAAGCACTCTACCATTTGAGCCACAGCAACACTTCCAGTTTTCTGGTGGTTAATTGGAGATAAGCATCTCATGGCTTTTCCTGCCTGAGCTGGCTTTGAACCATGATCCTCAGATCTCAGCCTCCTGAGTAGCTAGGATTACAGGTGTGAGCCACTGGCACCCAGCTTTTTTTTTTTTTTTTGGCCAGTCCTGGGCCTTGAACTCAAGGCCTAGGTACTGTCCCTAAGCTTCTTTTGCTCAAAAATAGCACTTTGCCACTTGAGTCAGCACCACGTCTGTCTTTCTGTTTATGTGGTACTGAGGAATCAAACCCAGGGCTTTATCCATGCTAGGCAAGCACTCTACCACTAAGCCACATTCCCAGTCCAATATTTTGATCTATTTTACTTTCATATCCCTTTCCCCGCAAATTTAGGCCATGCTATTAACAACAACAACAATAATAATAATGTGTATGTATAATTGTTTCAGTCTCAACCATCTTGATTCTGACTTTAATTTATTAAAATTTTCTTTTGGGAGCTTATAATCCTTTATTAACCATACATAAAAATACAAATATTAACTTATAATGTTTTATTCATTTACTTTTGTTAGTCCTCAGGCTTGAACTCAGGGCTTGAGCACTGCCCCTGAGCTTTTGTGCTCAAGGCTAATGTTTACCACATGAGCCACATTCTACTTCTGGTTTTTGGTGCTTAACCAGAGATAAGAGTCTCAGGGACTTTCCTGCCAGGAAAGACTTTGAACTGAGATCCTCGGATCTCAACCTCCTGAGTAGCTAGGATTAAAGGTGTCAGTTACTGGTGCCCAGGTATTTTTGGCTTTTTGAGACAGTGCCTTGCTATATAATCCATTCTGGCTTTGAACTTGCAATGTTGTGTGAGTCAGGCCTCCCACTCTCCATCTTCCTGCCTCCACCTCTTCAGTACTAAGATTATAGGCATTCACTACTACATTAGTCTGTCTTCTGAATTAAAAGGGGAGATTGAGCTCTAAACTTCCAGTTAAATAAACATGGATCAATGAACACAAATGTTCATCTCTATCTCCTGAAACTCCATCAAAATATAATTGTTGGAACAAAAAGGAAAGTCCTATAAAGACACAAAGAATAGGCCAGAAAATGACTGTGGAATAGAAATTCGAAACACTTTTGAATGAAGGGAAGCAGATGGATGACTAATCGAATAGAACTAGGATTCTGACACAACTCCCTGCAAGGTTGGGGACAGTGGCAAGAAGAAAACTGATTCTCAGCTGAGAACCTTCAGACTTGGGATGGGTGGACCCAGGACATGTTTTACCTCACTAGGTGGTTGTAAAGACTCAAGTAGCTCAAATCAGTCAAATATTTAGAGCAGTGTTTGACACTCAATGAATGATGACCATTATTATGGTTTGAGGAAAGACTCCAACTTGAAAGCCAGAGATCAAAATAAACAAGATAGACAATCTAGAGGGAGGACAGAAAGAAAAAATAAAAGCAGTCAGTTACACTTAAGTTCTCATAAACTGGGAAATAAGAGAAGATCCTGACTCTATGAAAAAGGAGTCAGGAAACAAAAATGCTTCCAGAAATTGAATGGGTTGTTTTGTTTTGTTTGTTTGTTAGTCGAGGGGCTTGAACTCTGGGCCTGGGTGCTGTCCCTGAGCTCTTCAGCTCAAAGCTAAGTGCTCTACTACTTGAATTACAGCGCCACTTCTGGTTTTCTGGTGGCTAACTGGAGATAAGAGTCTTAAAGACTCTCCTGCCCAGGCTGGCTTTGAGAGCCTCAGATCTCAGCCTCCTGAAAATTTTTATAGTAGAGGGACTGGGGAAGTGGCACTTTCCTGAACTGTATTCTCAGCACTCCTTAAAAAAACACAAAATGTATTTTTTTTAAAATAGGATTGAAAAAAAATCAATAGTGGCTCTGGAGAATACAAATCAGTCTTTTATCTGGTAGACTAAACAAACCAAGAAATAGAACATTAGAGTGAAGATTTAAAAATAAGAGCCAACCATCCCCAAACTCTTAGAGCTTATAAACCACTTCGGCAAAGTAGCAGGATACAAAATTAACCCACAAAAATCAGTTGCCTTTCTGTACACCAACAATGTACAAGCAGAAAGAGAAATCAAGGAAAAACCCCATTCACAATAACCTCAAAAAAATAAAGTAGGAATTAACCTAACCAAAGATGTAAAGGTTCTATTTCATGAAAACTATAAAAGCCTAAAAAAAGTAATCATAGAGGATATCAGAAAATGGAAAGATCTCCCATGTTCCTGGGTAGGCAGAATTAACATAGTGAAAATGGCTATAATGCAAAAATTGATATACACATTCAATGCAATTCCCATTAAAATCCCAATGACGTACTTTATTGAAATAAAGAAAACACTCTAAAAGTTCATATGGAGCAACAAAAGACCTAGAATAGCCAAACCAATTCTAGGCAAAAGAAATACCACAGGAGGGATCACGATACCTGATTTCAAGCTCTACTATAAAGCCATAATAACAAAGACAGCTGGTACTGGTACAAAAAGAGATCCGAAGACCAATGGAACAGACTAGAGGATGCATAAATAAAGCCACATATGTACAGTCAGTTGATATTTGACAAAGGAGCAAAAGACATACAGTAGAAGAATCATAACCTCTTCAACTATTGGTGTTGGGAAAACTGGGTGGCCACATGCAGAAAATTGAAAGTGGACCCTAGCCTATCACCATGCACTAACATCAACTCAAAGTGGCTTAAAGACCTTAACATCAAACCTGATACTCTGAAACTACTGCAGGACAGAGTACGAGAGACACTTGAACTAATAGGCACAGGCAGGAACTTCCTGAACAGAGTCCTAGGGTCACAACAAATTGGAGAGAGACTGGACAAATGGGACTACCTTAAAATAAAAAGTTTCTGCACAGACAAAGAAATAGCAACCAAACTAGAAAGATATCCAACTAATTGGGAAAAAATATTTACCAGCAAAATATCAGACAAGGGTCCTAATATCCATTATATACAGGGAACTCAAACTAACCCCTCACAAATCTAACAAACCAATCATGAAATGGGAAAGGGAACTAAAGGGAGACTTCTCAGAAAAAGAGATAAAAATGGCAAAGAAACACATGAGGAAATGTTCATCATCCCTGGCTGTAAAGGAAATGCAAATAAAAACAACACTGAGATACCACCTTACTCCAGTCAGAATGGCCCACATCCTAAAGTCAGCCAACGACAAATGCTGTAGGGGATGTGGAGAAAGAGGAACCCTACTGCATTGCTGGTGGGAATGTATACTAATACAACCACTTTGTAAAACAGTCTGGAGATACCTCAGAAAGCTAAATATAGACCTCCCCTATGACCAAGCTATACCACTCCAAGGCATCTACCCTGAGCAACAGGAACCAGTATACAAAGACACATGCACCTCCATGTTTATTGCAGCACTGTTCACAATAGCCAAGATTTGGAAACAACCCAGATGCCCCACTACTGATGAGTGGATCCAAAAATTGTGGTACCTATATATAATGGAATATTATGCAGCCATTAGAAAGGACAAAATAATGGCATTTTCAGGGAAATGGATGGAATTAGAGCAGATTATTTTGATCAAAGTTAGCCAAGAACAAAGAGGCAAATGGCACATGGTCTCCCTGATATGTTGGATGCTAAAGCCAAAATACAAGAAGATATGGCAAAGTAACAGGACTCAAGAAACAAACAGCCACCCATTTGATCATATCATTGCTAAATGACTACATGTTCTAGACCATATATATGGTAGATATATGCACACAACAGAGGGAAGCCAGGAGGAGGAACAGAATAAGTAGGAACAGCCTACACTAAGCAAAAGGAAAGAAATGTAAACATCACCTGATGTGGAAAAAATAACTTGTATTGTCAAAGCTCATAGAATTCACAAGCTATATAGATGATGATAATGACCATTTGCCTTGTGAAGGTTAAAATGTTTGTGACTCTAAGTATCACTATTCCACAATACTGTGAAATATGTGAAATTTATGTAATCACCTAATCTCATAGAAAAAAAAGAGAGAAGGGATGGGTTAAGAGAGATGGGTGACAATGTTGTCGGACACTTGTACTCATATATTGTTTTGTAGAATGGGAACTTCTTTGTACAACTACTTAAAAGACAATTTAAAAAATTAGTGAAAAGCTGGTGGCTCACGCCTGTAATCCTAGCTACTCAGGAGGCTGAGATCTGAGGATCGCAGTTCAAAGCCAGCCCGGGCAGGAAAGACCGTGAGACTCCTATCTCCAATAAACCACCAGAAAACCTGAAGTGGCGCTGTAGCTCAAGTGGTAGAGAG